CCCCAAAACCCCAAAACCCCAAAACCCCAAAACCCCAAAACCCCGGCTTATATTTTATAGTTGAGTCAATAAGATGTCTTATGTAAATTACTCAGTCTCTTCCATCTTCTTTATACATTTACTCATGGAAAAGTCTTCTTTGGTACCATCGGCCCTGACTACGAAGAAACATCTAGTATTTCTGTAGCTTGGATGTTCATCAACAATGAAATGGCTGAAGTCCTTCATCTTTTCATCGTGTTTTTCATGATGTTTGATAATCTCTTTTAAGAACTCCTCTTCGTATCCTTCCAACTTTTGGCCATCATCCTTTATGTTCATGATGGTCTTAGCCTTAGATTTAACTTTGTTGATGTTCATATAAGTGGTTCCAGCAATGGTGTATTGTTTATCATCTTCAACCTTCTGCTTCTTGGATCCATCCTTGTCGCCATTAGCTGCCTTCTCTTCTCTCTTTCTCTTCCTCATTTTTCTGAGTTTTTGCTTTTGGCACATCTCGTAGTGAGAACCGTGATTCTCCCAGAACTCTTTAAGATCTTCGTCATTAGGCTCTTCGAAGAGGTAGTCGAAATCAGCAATGGTGATAGTATCCTTCATAAGCTTGCTAAGAGCTGCAGTATCAGTTCTGTTACTTGAGATGGCAAGTTGCCCAACAAATTCCTTTTGCCTGGAGTAAAGAAATTTGAGAGTTGGGAAAGATTCCTCAAGATGGTTCTCTAAGTCTCTCCAGGATGGTTCATCTTTATTTTCCTCACTCTTTGATGTAACTTTAAAGGACACAATCTTAGGATTTTTAAAGTCTCTCTCAGTAATAACACCATCATCTTGCTGCTCAACTTTCTCCTCTTCCTTCTTCTCCTCGACTAATTCAGGAAGAGCTTTGTTTCCTCTTCTTCTAACTCCTCCTAAACAAACGATAAACTCTATTTTCGAAATCATGAGCCTACATGAGGCCTCCCTCTAGCTAACCCCACATACCTGTATCAAATTCTACTTCAGTAGAGTCCTTAATAGCTTCGACGACATCTTCCTGATTGGTCGTCAACTGCTTTACTTTGTTACAGTTCATGATGAATGAAATATCCACCCATCCTTCCTTATCAGCAGAGATTTTGGAGTGGAAGAATCTGTCCTTCTTCAAGTTCTTATCAGAGAAGTAGTACTCTACTTGCTTCTGGATCGCTGCGAGATCAACACCTGACATTTTGTGTTTTATAGGGTAGGTATAAAAATTAATTAAATCACTAAATTTAATGGCTCTTTTTTATTTCGGGGTTTTGGGGTTTTGGGGTTTTGGGGTTTTGGGGTTTTGGGG